CAACATAGTAAATTCAGGTTTTAATTCCCATCGGTAGATATATTCACATTTAATGTACAATAATATACTCTAAATAGAATTGTTTCCAATAAAAAAAATTCATGTGTCTAGTTAAAAAACAGTGTAAAATAGCAAAATAAATAGAAGGTCTAAAAGTCAAAGAAAAATGATCGTGCGAACTTGGGCCAAATCAAGCTTTAATTCCTCATAGGCCAGACACTGGACTGTACGATTTTTCAAGTTAGTTTTCTTGGGGATTGATTTTAATATGTCCCAAATTCAGTTTGGGCTAAAAGCTGTAGGAAAAATAACCAAAAAAAAAAAGAAGGTTAGAAATTACAGTATTCCAATTCAGACACCTTAGAAATCAAAATTTCAAGGGAGGAGGTAGTGTCTGATATGGTATTTTGAAAATGTAATCAAATGACTAAAATACCTTTATATTATATTTCTTTAAAAACAAAGTTATCAAACTTGTTATTGCTAGTATATTTTTTGTTATTGGTTATTCAATACTTGTTATTACCACTTCACAACTTATTAATAAATAACTTATCATTGCTAATACATTTCTTGTTATTTTTTGTTCAACACTTGTTATTATCAATTCACAACTTGTTAATAAACTTTTTGATGCAAGGGAATTTTTGTCATTTAACTACATTTGCAAAATACGATATCATGTATCAATTCCTTCCTTGCGATTTTGATCTCTTAAGTGCCTGAATTGGAATATTACAATTTTCAATTTCTTTTTATGTTATTTTTCTAAAGTTGTTTCTTTTCAAAAGGGTTAATATAATTTTTGGTCTCTAAAATATACACCTACTTTGGTTTTGATCTTTCAAATTTCAAACACATAATCTTAGTCCCTTGAATTCACTCCGTCCTAAAATGTCAATCATTAGAGATATAATGATATTAAAACTTGCTTAAGTATCATAAACGGTGTTAAAGTCGTGATATTAACTCACCAGATAACATTTAGTTAGATCTTGTGTGAATAACAAAAAAAAAAAAGGTAAAAAGAACAGGTCTTCAAAATGCAGCTGTTTAGTCCTTCTTCTTTTTTTTCCTTTCTCGTTGCTTGTTTAAGGAGTTGCTCGTGTTTTAATAACTCATCCCCTCTATATAATCATTATGTTAGCCATATCATATAATGAGTCAACATAATCACTTTAACACTGTTTACAAATTTTGTCCTTACTATGCTCTTGTTGTGAGACTTTTTAACGATAATTTTATAAAAGGGTGATGGGACGGAAAATGAATTTTGGAAAACATGAAACTTAGAAATTAAAACAGGTGAATAAAAAATTAAATTTTGAAGGGAAAAAAGGAGGGAGAATAACAGAAAAAGATGCTGAAAATTGCAAATTCCAAATTAGGTTTGGTAACACAACTTTATTTGGTATTGACAATTTTAAATTTGCAAATAATAACAAATTTTTATTAACATTCCTTATGTGGCATTTACAAATTTTCACCTTCTTTTGGTGTCATTGTCCCAAAAAAGGAGGAATTCTAATTAATCCAATTGAAATACATAAATCCAAATTCAAGTCTACACTTTTAATAAATTTCTAATTAGGTTATAAGGTCTCATTAGAAATTTCTGAATATTGTTAAATGTCTAGAATGCCCTTCTGTAATCTTACCCCTCCCAAATAGTTTCTCTTTTCTCTTGATTATTTTTTGAAACTAAAAACACATAAATAATTTTATAATATTTAAATCTTGTATATATAACTAAAACCTTTAAAAATATTTTAATAAAAAATTTTAAATTACAATATAATTGCAATTCAAATAAATATTTTGGATTTTCAGGTTGTAAATATTTATTTTTAAGACTTTAAAATATCTTAATTATAAGAAATATTCTATATTAAATTGTTGCAAATTACATTTTTGGGTTGAAATCTAATGTTTGCCGAAATAAATAAAAATAATGTAAATTATACATAATATTAAATATTTTTTGTAATTAAAATATTTTAAGATCTTAAAATAAATATTTACAAATATAAAATAAAAATATTTATTTTAAGGCTATTTATGCTGAAATTTAAAATGTTTTATTAAAATATTTTTGAAGATTTTGGTTATATATACAAATTTTAAACACTTATACAATTTTTTATTTGTTTTTTGGTCTTAAAAATAATCATAAAAGATCAGAGATCACTTAGGGGAGTAAAATAATTAATTTTTTATTTTAATTAAAGAGAGACATTCTTGTCATTTAACGACAATTAGAAATCCTAAATTAGAATTCATGTTTTAATTAGAAATTTATTAGAAGTATAAGCCTTAATTTGGATTTAGGTATTTTAATTGGATTTTATTGTGATTTTTTCCCCAAAAAATAAATTAAATTATAATAAAACTTTCAATGTTTAAGTTTCCCATGTTTTTCCCCCGCAAAATCAGCAAAATCATCTGACACGATTTGGCTAATAAGTACTATTTATATCATATTATTTACTATATATATAATTTGTTAAATATATCCTTTATTATATATTATTACAATTACTTTTTTTTAAATAATTATTTATCTTATATGCAAAATATTGGGTATTTATTATTATTTGACATTTATTTCATGCCTTTATTTTTATTTTCATTCAAAATAACTAGTACAGAATTTAAAACATAATACTTTAATTGTTACCAGTCTGATCACGGATTAAACCCCCACGAACCCACTAACTCACTAACCCTTAACTCAATATCTTGACCGGTTTAATGACCAGTCTGATTTTTTATTTCTTGATCAACACTATAATTTAATAATGGTTAATTAATAGTTAGGTGGGTAAAAGTTGAATCACAAAACTATAAGGAAAGATTATGCAACATATATTTTGGTTTTCAAAATAAAAGAGAAATTTCTGTAACTGTAAGGTTAAAGTTAATATATTTTACTCTGTTTATTATTATTCATACGAAAAATGTTAAAACTAGTTTTAGCTCTCTACTTTCACTTCGGCGCCCATAGCTTAGCGTCTAGCCACATCTAATGATAGCAACAGTTAAATTAAAAATTTGCACAAACTCAGTCTAAAGATGGATCCAATTTAAATAAAAGATAAATAAATTTTCTTTCTGTTAAGGTCAAAGATATTAAATAATAAAGAACATAATCCTTTCATGTCCCTTTGATGTCACTTTTATGGAGTAGTTATAAGATTTCAGATATGGGAAGGAACCCCTAATATTGACACATTGATTTAAGATTTAGTTAATAAAATAACATTTGTAATGTTTCCAATCCATTTCAGCTTTCAGCCATTTTTTCAATCCAAACTTCATAATCAAATTTAACAAATTTTTAATTTAATATGAATATGAATGAGATATGTCCACAATCACGTTTAATCAATCAATACACAATCTATACTCGGGCCAAAAAATAAAAACACAATCTATACCAAACTATAATCTATACACAATCAAGTTTAGAATTCGTGTGTAATTCATGAGGACTGCAACCAGAAATGAAAAATGTTAAATTAAAAATATGTATAAACTCAGTCCAAAGATGGATGCAACTTTAATATAATGTGATCACAATAAAAGATAAATAATTCTTTTAATGTTAAGGTCAAAGAGATTAAATTTTTTTTTTATAAAAAGGGCATAATCCGGTCCTTTCGCGTTGATGTCATATTATAGAGAGTTAGTTATGAGATTTCTTTTATATGGTTATGACCGTATGAGCCACTTAGATTTTTTTTTTTTTTTGGGGTAAGTTGAGCCACTCAGATATTGATAGACTGATTTAAGATTTTGTTGTTAAATTATTTGTAATGTTTCCATCTATTTCATCTATTGTTTTTAATCCAATCTTCATCACGAGATTAAACAATCTTTTTTTGTAATGTCAAATATAACTATGAAGGAATTAAATCTATGCACAGTCAAGCTAATCAAAATCATTAATTAATACTAATAGACGCATAATCTATAGGAATTGCTGTACTCCAAAATAAAAGCTACGTAACACGTACATAGATCCCACATATCTAATGAGAACAAAAGTAAAACTGATTAAAAATGTGTGAAAAACTATGAAATCTAAAGCTGGATCTAACTTGAATAGAAGGTATTGATGACAATAAAATATGCTTTCTTAAGTCCTCAATGTAAGAGCTTGAATGTTTGATAATTAACCTGCACAGATTAGTAAATATTAGGTAAGCTAATTATTTGTTAAAATTTATATTGAGTTTCAAAAAGTATTATTTTTAACTGCTGGTATTAGATATACTACTCTCTTGATGAAAAACACATTTGATATGTGCAATATAGGAGCAAAGAATTCTTACAGTTAAAATCAATATAAACTTATCTTTTAATTCTTACATTTAGAACTTGAGAGTTATAATCTGACTGGAAAAAAAAATTGGAGAGTTATATAAAACATAATCCTCTAATGTCATTTTGATGTTACTATAGGTAGAGAGTGAGTTAGGTATAAACCACTTTGATATTGTTGTATTGAGCTAGTGATTTCAGATTTAGTTATATATGCAATGTTTTGCAATCCATTCCATGTACGTTTAATTTTACCCGAAATTCATGGTCCAATTTAAAAAAAAGTGCAAATCTACCAACCGATAGATATATTAAATTTGAATTAAAAATATTCACAAAATCTCAAACTATAATATATTTATATGTATATATATTTTCGACGAGAATAAACAATATCAAAAGAGGTAAATTTTCTCATTAATCTTGCTTGAGAATTTGACATTATATTTCCTTAAAAAACAGATTATCCAGCAAAACTTGCCTTTTAATTCTCAAGTTTCTTTTTAAACTCAAAATGTAAGCTTGCTCCTTTATTAGTTTATTCCGACAATAATATTATATATATCATCTGCAAATTGATGGATTAGGTGAATCCCTTACGTAGGTTCATAGATAATTCTTATAAAAGATCTTTCTCATCCGATCTTCTTCTTGGTCATTTTCCTCCTCAAACCTAATTCGCTAACTCTCTCTCAAACAACACTTCAAACATGGATTCTCCTCTCCTCCATGAAATCAAAAAGCAAGCTTCTTTCTTCTTCAAGGACAAGATTAAAACTGCGAGGTTAAAATGGACTGATGTTACACCAGTTGAACTGTGAGTTTTTTCATTTCTGTGATCTCTTTCCTTAAAGTCCTCTCTTTTGAGCTTCTGATGTTTCATTTGCAGAAGAACTGAAAAAACTCATCTTCTGATACTGCAATGAGTTAATAGGAGTTATTCCTACTAATTATTGTCCTCAACATGTTGAAACCAGTTAATGGAAGTTGATTTTCTTTTGATTCTTAATAAGTTTCACACACTGTTTTAATTTCTTGTAAATTTGAGGGTCCAGAATGACAGAAGAAGCTACCAGTGAAAATCCATGGCCCCCAGAAACTTGTAACTTGGGAGTAATATCGCGAGGAGCATTCGAAGTTGATGATTATGAGAGAATTGTGGAGATTTTGCATAAGAGGTATACGTACCTTTCTTTTTTTGAAAAAAACATACTTTTTGTTTTTTCTAGTATAACTATCTATCCATATCTTTAATGGGTTAAATTTTAGAACCAACAACCTCCTCATCCCCACAAAGAGAACATAAATTCAAATCCCAAAAAGCATACTTGTTTGGAAAAGTATAAGCATTTGGATTCTAAGTCTCAAAAGAAACTAATCTCAAGTTCAAAATAGCTCATGAATACCTTCATTAAATGAAAAAGAGGGTTAAATTTGGATTTTATTAGTCTTGAACAAGAATAATTTTCTCAATATGAATTTTTTCATCGATAACATTTGAGCCTACAATATTAAGGTTTAGTCACTCTCAACAACCCAGTTCAACTATTTTTATCTATCACTTTTCAGAGTTCATAGTTGTTGACTTGGTTAGTCATGTGTGTGTGTGTGTGTGTATAGATCGTCTCAGAATGTCATGTGTCATTTCTGGATACATAACATTGTATGATATTATATTATGATTGACTTAGATATTCCAATTTTGGTTAATCATATATATATATATATATATATTACATAACATTGCATGATATTTTTGTTTATAATTTGTCCTTTTCATTTTTGTCAATGTGTCATTTTTAGATTTTATTAAGCATGTTCTCAATATCTCAAGAATTATGTCATTAAAGTTTCATGCAATGCTATGTGGGAAAACAGGTTGCAGAAATTTGATAGAAGTAAGTGGAGAGCCTCGTACAAAGCTCTGATTCTTCTGGAACATCTTCTAACCCATGGGCCTCTAAGAGTACCTGAGGAGTTTCGGTGTGATGAAGACGTTATCAAAGAGATAGGACAACTTCAGTACATTGATGAGAGAGGGTATGAAAGTTTAACAATTCTCAAATGATGTCCCTGACTCACTAATTGCAATTTAGTGTTGACCCTTGTAATAAAATTTTCGTTTCACAGGTTCAACTGGGGGATGAGAGTTAGAAAATTATCAGAAAGATTAGTAAAGCTGCTGGAAAACAACGAGTTTTTAAGAGAAGAAAGATCAAGAGCTCGGCAACTTTCTCTAGGGATCGAAGGCTTCGGAAGCTTCAACAATCAAACTTGGGCAATCAATGGAAGCATCAATGCCTTTCCTTCTAAGAAATATGAAAAAAATAATTCTTGCTGCGGCTTTCATGAAAGTGAGGGACAAGGTATCGTGAACTTAGACAAGAAATTTAGTACTGGAGATGGAGACAAAGAAAAGCAACAAGTTCACAAAAACATGGACGAGAAACTCCTAAAGCAAGAAAACAAGACAAATTTGGAAGAAGACTTTAAGATTGAGCATCCCTTTGTTGACAAAGAGAGCTTCGCTCAAGCATCATTGCTTTCTGTGTAATATACTATATGCTTAGATTGTGTTGTCCTCGGTTCGTAAACTCTGGCATGTAAATAGTTATGGTATAGGACTTTAGATCTAGATTTATCTGCTTGTCCTGTCCTGTTCCAGAAATTGTAGTGCCTTATAGTGCATTTGGATTAATGAGACTGAGAACAAGTGAAATTTCAATGGCATATGATGCTGAATTGGAATATTCCAAAAAGGAAAAAATAAAATACAAAACAAAAACTCCTCAGACATCTTAAAGTCATCATTCTAGCATGATAAGAACATGAAAGCACAACAAAAAAGTAGAATGAAAGAGCTGCAAGATGCACTTCTTCCCGAGGAATGTGACAGTAGTCTCTTCCTTCAATAACCCTATAATATTCTGAAACATTTTAGAAGCATTTTCTATGCACAATTGACGGTCCAGACTCATCGTACTCTGCCTTCGCAATCCACATCTGCACTCAGAAACAATGTTCCATTACCAATCATATACGGAGGCAACTCTGACAATTCCAAGTAACAGGCAAGAAAATAAGGAACAGAACAAACCTGTTGGAAGGTGCTGAGAGATGCCAAGATAGAACCACCAATCCAGACACTGTACTTTCTCTCGGGTGGTGCTACAACCTTGATCTTCATGCTGCTTGGGGCTAATGCAGAAATTTCTTTGCTCATTCTGTCAGCAATGCCAGGGAACATGGTTGAACCTCCAGAGAGGACAATGTTACCGTACAGGTCTTTCCTGATGTCAACATCACATTTCATGATGGAGTTGTATGTCGTCTCATGAATGCCTGCAGCTTCCATTCCAATAAAGGATGGCTGGAACAGGACCTCTGGGCATCTGAATCGCTCTGCACCAATGGTGATTACCTGCCCATCAGGCAACTCGTAGCTCTTCTCCACAGCAGAACTGGTCTTGGCAGTCTCTAGCTCTTGTTCATAGTCAAGGGCAATGTAGGCCAGCTTCTCCTTCACATCTCTCACTATTTCCCGCTCTGCTGAGGTTGTAAATGAATACCCACGTTCAGTTAGAATTTTCATCATGTATTCAGTAAGGTCACGGCCAGCCAGGTCAAGACGAAGGATGGCATGTGGGAGAGCATAACCCTCATAGATAGGGACTGTGTGGCTGACACCATCACCAGAATCCAGCACGATACCTACAGAGGAACAACAAACAGATTTAAGATTAACAAGCACAATTACGTTTGTCCCATTGTCTTCCTGATCAGAAACAGAACAGTTCGCCCTTTCGAGCAGCATGTTAAGTGAAATCATATAGGAAAACAGCAATAATACTCAGTTTTATCCTCTGTTTCAGAGCAACGGCACTATGAAAATTAATCCCTTTTAGATGCTAGTGAAGAGTAACACATTCTGCTCCAAGCATAAGGTCATGTTTGAGAGTTCTGAGAAAGAATGGGAGTTATCATTGATGTAGTGGATTGGGAAAGAATGTTAAGAGTTACCAAACCAGTGTCTGGATCTTAAATAGAAAATGGATAATAGTTTCCTAGAGGTTAAGCAGTTTATTTGCTAAGTTTTAGCTTTATGCCAACACCTTCTTTCCAGTTTGCTTCGAGCCCTAGCCTGCCTTTGTATCTTGGGGGGCAAAAAAAAAAAAAAGAAAGAAAGAAAGAAAATGGATAATAGTCTTATTTGGTACCGTGATAATAAATTAATAATAAACTAGATGGGTAGACCCTGTGCATTACACAAAGTTTAACGGATGAGTCACATTGTTCGTAGCTTGTGAATAGCGGCATAAAGCAGCTTCTTGAAGATTTATTTTATATTGACGCAGAGAATCAGAAATATAAACTCACAATATTACCATTATAGATTATTCTCAATTTCATCGAGGCAGAAAGCTATAAATGAATGATTATTAATGGGAAGGACGCAATTGCAAACCCTTCAAGTTTAGGACTAGAGGCATGAAAATTGGGGAGTTGAGTGAGAAGGGTGCAAACCACCCTAATCCAGCCAGCCATAATAATTTTAAAACAGAAAGATGATGCTTTTGTCTCTTTAACTTTATCTTTTCACACTCTAATCCCAAATAAAAATAAAATAAAATCTAAAAACAAAAATACAAATAGGAAAGGTTCAAACTAAAACTCAAACCACATCAAAAAATTGAAAGAATCGCTTACCAGTGGTACGACCACTTGCATACAATGAGAGAACAGCTTGAATTGCTACGTACATAGCAGGGGTATTAAAAGTCTCAAACATAATTTGAGTCATCTTCTCACGATTGGCCTTGGGATTAAGAGGAGCCTCAGTTAGCAAAACTGGGTGCTCTTCTGGGGCAACACGAAGCTCATTATAGAAAGTGTGATGCCATATCTTTTCCATGTCATCCCAATTGCTGACAATTCCGTGCTCAATAGGGTACTTGAGGGTCAGGATACCTCGCTTAGACTGTGCCTCATCACCAACATATGCATCCTTCTGGCCCATGCCAACCATCACACCAGTGTGACGAGGACGACCTACAATGCTGGGAAACACAGCACGCGGGGCATCATCTCCTGCAAATCCAGCCTAGGGGGCAAAAAAGGAAAAAAGAGAAAGCTGCAATCAACTTCACCAAATAATAGAAAATATTAAACAGCTTCATAGAAGAAAATAGTGCAAAACACTAAGTTATCCGAATTTGAAAAAAAGCTAACAATTTAAAAGAAGGTCCATTAGCACCTTGACCATTCCTGTTCCATTGTCACAAACGAGAGGTTGAATATCCTCAGCTTCTGCCATCTTCTATAACCTACTGGATCAAACAACCAGTCAGTACAAACCAATCAATTATGTATAATGAGACCATTAAACATAGAAGTGGCAAGGGGAAAGGCTAAAATAAGGTGGAAGGAAAACCCGAAATGAAAACAACATCATTGTTAAATATTGCTATTCAAATTTGTTTACTGGGGAAAGAAATCTTTCATCAGAAATAAAGCAATAGCCAATAGCAAGAATTTATTGATGGCATAGATGATTAAACAACACACATTGTGGAATTCAGTTTCATCTCCTACAAATGAAAAAAATGCTCACAAGATATCAACAGACTGATGATCAAGAATAGACAGGTTAGTGAGATACCAGTGACAAACAAGTTAGCGGGGAGGAAGTCTAAAGGAAAACTGGAGAAATAAACACCAGAAACAAAAGTACATATATTATACGTTTACATGAAATTCACTCCATCCCAAGACAAACCAACCTACACCTGCTCGCTAAAGATAAACAAAAGTATTTCCCAGAATGCAAACCTCAATGGGAAAGAAAAATAAGAAGTTAATTAATCACACGCACCATGAACCACAATTATGATTCAAAGGCTGGTAAGGGATCATTGAAATGGTAGAAAATATGAAGAAAAATGGGTAGATACGCCGACCATTTTTAACATTTCCAACATTTTCTACTCAAGCTTATCATCTGACTGGGAGATTTGACACATATTACTCTCATTTTCAAGTGCAAGTACATGTCTGCATCGTATGTTCGGTCAACATCTAACAACCAGAATTATTAAATACACATCAGATTCCTTTCTTCAGTCTACCAAGAACAATTTTCCATGAAACAGTGATAGATCCAACCCACTGACCAGAAATATCCGAACCACTAAACAAAATAACAATAGAACATAAGCCAGCAAATAAACAGCTACTACAATAAAATCCCAGATCGATGAGTCAAAAACCATAATGAAAGGCAAATCATTTCACGTCCCACTTGTCAACCACAAAAAAAGCCGGAAAGCGTCCATTTTAAGATCAAAATCAAACCAGGGAATTCTAACAAATAGCGGATCCATCAAGAAACGAAATGCAAGGAACAGATCTAAGAAGAATTGAGGAAGAATGAGTAGACCTTGGAATTGCCGAGGGGGGAATGGGGATGGAGAAGGCGAGCAAGCGAGCGATAAAGAGGGTTGGTAGAGGGAGAAGAGACTCTGTAAGGAGACGAAACGAGGAAGGGAAGGAATTTAAAAGAGAAGGAGAAGGAAGGAGGACCGTTGGATGAAGAGGTGAGGAATTTTGTGATTCAAAAATAGTGAGTGACAGAGGAAAAGAAGGCGTCCATTAATTTTGGATGGCATGAGCTTTCCTGGCCACAGGTCCCTCCTCCTTCCCTCTTTTCCACGCCTCTGATTTTTGCCTTATTTTTATTATATTTATTTTTAAAAAATTAATTACTATGAGTGAGCCAAAAGTATTGACAGGAATCTCAACGTCAGTCGCTACTTCCTCCATTTCCCTTCATAAACAACAAATACGGAAATACCCACCATTTCAATATAAAAAACAAAAAAAAATACCAGTATGAAAAATGGAGGAAGTTACCCCAAGTTTTAAACATGTAGATAGACAAAATAGACAAATAAAATCAACCAACTCCTACTTTAACTACAACAAAACTTTATCAATATTCCTATTCAATAACTTCAAAGGAAGAGGTGGTGTCCAATCTAAAGGGCACACTTTTTTTTACAGAGTCATCTTAGTTAGTAGAGCTGTTCACGCTAGATGAACAAGTGTCCTGTTCTATCCCGGTATTGTCCTGATATAGGTTTCGCCATATCCCGTTTTGTTTTTCTTTTTTAAAAATACTTTTTGCCTTATAATTAGGCCCATTGCAATAAATTTTGGTTGTTCTTTCCCTTCTAGTTTTAGTTCTTTGGGTTTAGTATTTCTGAAAATATCTTTTTGTTTTTGTTTTTGTTTTTATTTCTTTGGACTTAGCCCTTTTAACCAAAAGCCTAAATAAATAATAATCAGTAACATAATAATTTTAAAATTTATTTTCACCATTTCAAAAGAAATAAGCCAACTATATAAGCTCTAGATAAATAACAACTATTCAACTATATATGTGCTAAAAGCTAGAAATATACACATTTTGTATTTTTAACATTTAATAATTTAGTATGATAACAAATTTAACTTAATAATTCCCTTATAATTTTTTTGCCAATATTCTTTTGTCAGTTCACTTCCTTTTTTTGTCAATATTAAAGAAAAAAATCCCAAAAGATTAAAATATAAAATTAAAAAGCTAAATGTGAAATATTATGTGGGGAAAAAATAAAAACGATTTAGCACTCGCAGGGACAAGATTCAAAAACTATCTGAACCATCATTTCCTTCCATCTAAAATGTTTATAGAGGGCCGTATGAAAAAAA